CCGTGCCCAGCAGCTCCAGCACCATGGGCGTGTCACCTGCCTCAACGGGCTGCCCGTGCACCTCGCTGGCACCCATGCGCCCCCCGAGTGAGGCTTGGTGTGTTGGGGGGGTGTAAGTGTGGGGGTGGGTCCTCCCTCACCCTGAGGGCTCCACTGGGGCCTGCAATAAAGGAGATGACACAGGCCTGGGCTCTGGCATCAGCTTCTGGGGGGGTAGCCTGCGATCTTACCCCTCTCTGGGTGTCCCTGAGCCCCCTTGGGTGACCCCAACCCTGTCCAAGGTGGACCTGGCCCCTCATATACAACCCCTGGGTTTTCCCAACTTCCTGGGGGCCCATGGGACATCTCCTGTGCCCCACAGACTCCCCCTGACCCTCACTGTTCCAGGTGCTGCACAACTCCCCTGGGTGCTTCATAGTTCCCGCAGAGTCCCCCTGGTCCCCTGGATGTGCACCCACCCTGATGCCCTGACCCTTTGGGTGTCACACTGCTTTCCCCAATACCCCATATCTCCCTCAGGGTCTCTCAGCCTCCCATGTACCTCATAACCCCCTGGGTACCCCCAACTTCCCCCATGCTTGCCCCATAAACTCTCATGTGCCCCATATTCCCCTCTCCCACATCCCTCCAACCCCATCTAGGGCCTCGCTGGGGCTCAGGCCACTCTTGTACCCCCTTGGCCCCCCCGTGGAGCCAAGCACCGGCTGGGGCCACACACAGCCCCGAATCATCATCCCCCACGCACCGAACACACAAAAAACCACAACACACATGCACATGCAGACACACAACACCCACAAACCATGCGCTGTACACACAACCACACACCATATTTGCAATGCAAAACATGCACACAACAGACACAAACAAGTATTTTCTCGGGTTTGGGTGGGATTTCTTGGACTTGGATGGGATTTCATGTGTTTCAGCTTGTGCTCATCACCTCTCGTCCTGTCACTGGACAAATGGTCTTCCTGATCCTTTCCAATTGCTCCCTGTCCAAGAGGTCTCTTCCTCAAGTGCCATGAGTAACTTAGGTGCTCCTTTTCTGGATAAGGCACCAGAAAGTCACTTGAGGGGCCCTCCATGGGCTGGTGAGCTCCAGCTCTGAGCCTTGCCCCAGTGAAGAGAGCTCTTCTCCCTGTACACTGGAGAGGAATTGGGGTCTTTCTAGGGCATTTGGGGCATTCCCGGCCTGGCATCGTCCAACAGATGCACTTCTCCACCCTGCTCTGGGGTCTCTGCAAAGACATGGGTTTGATCTCTGCTCTGTTTCTGCCCTGGTGCTTCGAGGCTTGGAGGAGGACTCCAGCCTCTCCATCTGCTCTCAGGCAGCTCAGATCATCCTGGCACCGAGAGAGAAAAACATCACCACTGTGATTTACTCTGAGCCTTGCACTACAGACTCTGAGGAGCATGGGAGAGGTGGCACCCACCTTGAGGAGCAGTCCTGGAGCAGCAGTGCCAGTTCTGGAGCTGCCCTGCATGCTGGGACTACCCGAGTGTGCTGCAAAGCCTGGGCTGTTCTGGCATCTCCCCTTTCCCTGCAGGGCAGCTCCATGGGCACATCCCATCCCTTTATTGTGCTATGATTATATGACTCTATGGGGACCTGGGACAGATCATTCCCCATTTGTGGCCTTTGAGGGACTCTCAGAAGCTTTCCAGTGCCCTCTCCTCCCAGGCCAGCCGTTGCCCTCTCTGCCATCGTGCTGCTCACCCAGAAGGCTACATCTCTGTCCCTGGGCCTCCACAAAAGGCTTATGCTGCTGCGGCTGGGCCAGGGGCTTTTGTACCTGCTCTTTTTCCCAGCCTTCCTCAGAGGTCCCCTGTGCTCCTTCAGCAGGTTTTGGGCCTAGGTTGAGCGCTGGGATATTCTCCCTCATGCGCCCAGGCCACCTCCCAGGGTGTAGAGCTCCTCTACCATGGCACAACGTGGGTCTTCACGCAGCTCCTCATTGCCTGCATCCTGGTGGCTGTGGAGAGTGAGAGCTTCTCCATGCTCCGTCCGCTCTGGACTTCCTACAGCAGCATCCTTCCCCTCTCCTATGGCATCATGGTGCTGCTGCTGCTCGCCAAGAAGCCAAAGCAGAATTGAGCCTGTCCTGGGCTAACTTGTGCGGCTGGTGGGGCACATCTCTGCACATGTGAGCATGCAGGGTCAGAAGTGCTATCAGCCAGGCAATCTCATATAATAGCATCTCCAAAGAAGGAAGTTGGCTTTTACTTTTGGGATATCCCCCCAGCTTTAAGGGATGCTCTGAAGCAGGGTGGTAAGGTCACCAAACCACTAGGCAAGAGGGCTTCTAGCAGCACTGCCTGCCCAGTGTCTCTTCTGGGGGTTTGGGTCACAGCCTTATCTCACGTAGGAAGCACACAACCTCAGGTTCGGCTGTGGAATTCAACCGAGCCTTAGATGTCGCTTTCCCCACGAAGGTACACAGCAGAAACCCTAATGCACTTCTCCACGCATTGGCCCAGGACCCAAAAGCCTAGGACCGTTTGGGCTGGATAAGAAGCATGAGCTGCTATGGCGAAGGTACCAGAAAAGCATGGAGCTAAAAGTTTATATGAGGGCAAGAAGACACTCATCATATCTCAAAATAATATAGCTGAAAATGCTACAGGACTATCATTGGCCTCTGGTCTGCTGCAGGGTACCAGGACCACCACCAGAACCAGTCTCAAGTGCCCAAGCTCCAGGGAAAGCCTTTTGGTCAGGTTAACATCCCACACCTTGCTGGCCCTGTGATAATACCTGTGTCAGTGTTTGTCACTGAACTGAAACTTAGCCAGCAAAATGCACCCAACCTTGTTTTGTGTGGGCTGATTGGATGTTTGGCTACGTCTGGAGTTCTGCTGAGTACCCAACCCAGGCCTTGTGGGTCACTTGCCCTACATATAACCTCCCCATTGCCAGCACAGCTCAGATTTGTCATGTTCCAGGCCCTGTCTCCTTCAGTGCTGTCCTGCAGAGCTGCCTCCAACTTACTCCCTACATCCATGCTCAGAAACTGAGTTATTTCCTTATCTTTTCTCTGGAAAACACACTGGGCTTCTTCAGGCAGGTTCTCCAGCTATTTAATGACCCTTCTGGCCCATGTGAGACCACATGCAGGGATCCAGGACCAGACTTTCCAGGGTGGCTCACAGGACAGGGGTTCCGGGGTCAGAAAGCTCCTGCCACCTGTGCTGGAGGGAAGCGGACCCAAGAGTCAAACGCAAGAAACCCAGCGTATAAATAAAATCCCCGACGGCCGCGGTTGGAGCCATCCCACATTCCTTCAGCAGGCAGGGACGTGCACGGCCTCCTCCCTAAGGGGACTGGGGGAAGTTCATTGCAAATGGGTGCCCAGCCAAGGAACCATCTCCTCTCATTGGCAGCAAACCATAACCAAACAGATTAGAAAACAAAAAAAGTCCAGGTGAGAAGCCTGGAAAAGATTCACAGAAAATATATGGTGTCAAAAAATCTAGGGAATTAAAATTGCCCCGAGAGAGCAGTGTGGATCTGGAGGGGAATCAAGGCTGGAAGAAAGCGCTTATGAATTCCTCCCCTTTTTGAGCTGGGAGGGGGCAGCTCAGCTGGTTTCACACTGGGCTCTCTCCATGTGCCCCAAACCTACCTTTTCTCCAAGGGCTGCAGAACCCGTGCCAGGAGCAGGGCAGCTCGTCTCTGCCTTGTGTCAGGGGTGGAAGAGAGTAAAAGCAGCCCACGATCCTTCACAAAATCGTTTTTTTCTGAGCAGCAGCATGGCCTCTCCACCGAGCCAGGTGGCTGCTGCATGTCTGGATGGAGGGAAAGGGGCTGGAGGGAGCCGGGCCAGCTTCTCCCTCTTCCCTCGTATTTCCCTGGTGTTCCACATGCCAGCTCATCTCTTGATGCAGGGGTTAAATAAATGCTAGACACAAGGGACAGGTGAATTACCAGGAGCTGGAGGGATGGGGAAAGCAAAGCAACCTGGCCCCGATTTCCCTCCCCGCAAGGCCTTGGAGGTGAATTGGGGATTTTCCATTTCATTAACTTTACAAGGGGTAATTCCCAGCACGCAGCATTACCCTCCTGAACAGACCCATCCTGGGCTCTCGCCCACTCTTTCACAACCAACAGCCTGCACGGCTGCACCGCTAGATGGGAAAACAACACTCTATCAGTATCTAACAAAGGTAATAGACAGCTGGAACCGAATTGGCCACAGTAGAAAATACAGCTGATACACAGAAACAAGCATTATCTTTTGTTTTTACAGTGAGGAGCAAAATGGATGCCAGAACCCATGGAAGCTGTGGATGTGAAAGCACCTCCTGGTTCTCCCCTGCAAAGGAGCATTACATAAATTGTGTCTGCTCCCCAGGAGAGGCAGCCAAGCGTTCATCCCTGCCACGCACTCCGGAGAGCGGTGGTGTTCCCGGGCAAAGGGGATCTGGTCCTTTAGGGGGGTGGGGATCAAAGGACCATCCCACGGGCACAGAAATCAACTCAAGCGCACCGAGTTCATTAGAAACATGCACACACGCAGGCAGGAGTTTATTAGTCCACAGACTTACCATAACAAACAAACAAAAAAAAATTAAAAATCCCTCAAAATAGGATTAAAGTCCCCCAAAACAGCAGTTTTGCCTGCTTGCAAATTACCAGTGCTGAGGGTACTAAATGTGTCTTGTGCACTGTGCTGGGAGTGCAGGGCAGGAACTGGATGTGCATTCACCTCTGAGATTCGAGCCCCTCGTGCGTCAAGGGGCTGGGTACCTTTAGCCACGAGGCAACGGGGACCCCTCAGCTGCCTCCAAAACAGATCCGCGGTCAGAGCAGCTGCAGCAGCTTTAACGTGTGCGAGAGGGAGCCCGGCTCAGCGGACGCCAAGTACTGGCAGCACAGCCAGTCCTCCAGTTCAATGCTCCGCTCCGTGTCCACGGCCCTCTCCGCGAACTTCATCATGAGCAGGGCGCGCTTCATGTCCACCCAGTTCTGCAGCACCTGGCGGAGGGCTTCCTCCTGGCTGAGAGGCTGCTCCGTCAGGTCCTTGCGGGGCCCCCAGAGCAGACACTGCAGCATCCGCTTGGCCTCGGTGATCCGCACCCGCTTGATGGGATCGGCTTCCAGCAGCAGGTGGGCCAGCTGCTGCAGCCCCCGGGAGTAGATGGACAGGCTGGGCAGCGCAGGGAGGTCCTCGGGGCTGTACTCCTGCTCCTTCAGGTGCACCTTCTCCTCGAAGGGGTTGGGCTGGTGCAGCAGCTCGTAGATGAGAATACCAGTCTGGAACTCATCGAATTTCTTGTACTGAGAAGCCGACACGATCTCCGGGGCCAGCCGGGCCTGACTCTTCTTCAGTTTGGAGTCTCCAGTTCCTGGCTTCTGTTTGGCTTTCAAAAAATTGCTGATGATGAGGCGGGGTAAGTGTTTGTCGTCTTTGGCTTTCGCACAGCTCATGGGGGGCTTGCAGGGGACAAGCAGGAGGTTCTCCAGGCACAGGTCCCGATGGATGATGCCGTGCTCTTTGAGGTGCTCCAGGCCGTTGCAGAGCTGGAGGAGCAAGAAGCAAACGCGACGTTCGTACAGCTCGGGCTTGGCTTGGTGCAACATCGCCGAGTCCCTCACGAAATCGGCAGTGGTCTGGCTCGGCACCTCCCGGGTGATGACCACCACACAGTCACGCTCACTGGCAGTGCGGGAGGGATGGAGGCCATCCCCAGGCATGCTTTTTCCCAGATCTGAGGGCAGCAGCATGCTGGAGGGGACAGAGGCCACAAAATGCCCGCAGTCCTGCTGGATGTTGAAGTGGACTGGCACTGCGGGGCTGCAGTACGAAGCGGCCACCTTGGACTCCTGGGTTTTACAGATCTGTGAGGGGACACCAAAGGAAAAGCCTCATCAGCCAGTGACAGAGACCAGAAGTTCAGAGGTGGGATCCTAACCTGAGATTTGCAGATGCTAAGGAAGAAATCAGTAGAAGCAGAGGGTGCATTGGTCCTTTTTGTACTTTAATCTCCTGGCTTAAGGATCTTTCTTGTCCTGCAACACCCCCACCTTAGCAAACAGATGTCTGGGTTGCATTTCTGGACATGCTTCCTTTGCCAGGCAATGCCCAGTATTTGTAGGAAGGGAGGAGGAGGAGGAGGAAGATAGCCCTCCCACAGGAGATTTTGTTTCATTGCCAACAGAAGCAACAGATCAAAGACATCAAAGATGTCATTGAGATTCCCCCCTGCAACCCAGGAGACATTTTTCAGGGGGAAAAGCAAAGCTGGTGGCAGAAGATGTGCCACCTCCATCTCTGGGGATGGTTAATGCTTGCCTGGATGAGGCTCCATGAAACCTGACGTGACTCTGATGGTGGCCCTGTTTGGAGTCAGGCGTGGGCAGAGACCTCCAGCATTTTCTTCCCACCTGACCCTTCTCTGGCCCTAAGCCCTGGAGACACTTTCACATCCTCCTCAACCACTCCGCTTCCTTGTGTCAACAACTACTCCCAAATCCCTGATTTGGGAAACCAGCAAGGAACTGTACTCATCAGCACAGGGGAAAATCACCAGAGAGACAGCAGGAGCTAACAACAGGCCTACAAATAAGTGAGAGCACAGCAAACTCCAGGGAAAAACGCATTTTGTAATCTAGATTCTCTTAAACCCACATGACTTATCTTCGTTTTGTTCTGTATTTTAGCTTTATGACTGCATTAAAGGCTAAAGAAACTCAAACCCATGTTTATTACAGGAGTATCCATTAGCTTGTGGGGCCTTCTGGCGTTTCTATTCTATAATTCTTTTTTTTTTTTCCTTTTAGTTAGTGATGTATTTACATCTCACCCACAGGAATCGGCAACAGGCTGAAACTCAGCATAAAAGGCTTCAAACCCTGGAGCGTGCCACTGCCAGTCACAGCATGCGTGCAAAATCGGACAAGAAATCAATTTTGCCTCCGAGATAAAATAAATGCGAGAATAGAGAGAAGCTGGGGAAGTGGGCTGCTTTTGTATTCCCTGAGCAAGGGTCTGAATCTAGGCGTCTGCAGGTAATTCACTCAGATGAGACGATGCTGTGGAGATGGGGCATTTCAAATCCCTATTGTCCTTTCTTTTTTCTAAACAAAAATCCCCTGCCATGGCTGCATGCTTATTTTATGGAAAGACGAGCTTTGGAGAGCCAGGCAGGCAGCAGATTAACGCAGCGGGACGTGGGAAGACGCAGAAGGACCCAAAAGTGGAGGAGACTTTCCAGTCCTCTACCAAACAAGCCTGCTTGTTCCTCCCCACACAGGGAATGGCTTTGGAAAAGGGGAGGGAGTCCTGCAAGAGAGCAGTCTCTGGCAGAATAACTGCAGCCAAATGGAGACAGGGAGATCGTTCCCGGCCAGCCGCTCTTCATGGCTTTGGCTGCACCAGAGGCATCCTCCAAGTAGGAGACTTGGGCTGGCTTAGTTATGCATCTTTAAGGAAGAAAGAAGCCAAGGTGTGGAGCATATCTTGGCCCGATTCCTCTAAAGCCATTTCACGTAATCCTGGCTCCTTCTGTTTTATACGTATCCACGTCTGCCTGTGCACAGCCCAAATTCTGGCTCCTGCTCCTCAGCTCAAGGCAGATCCTCTGCCCATTTGCAGCTCTCCAAGTCTAATTTTAACTACAGCTCTGTAATCTCTTTCATGTCAGAAAAATCTGTATCAGAAGCCTGGAGGGACAGCTAGGAATCAGCCAGTTGTAGTTTCACAATTATTCTCCATTTCGGCTACCAACAGGAAGGTGGCACACAGGAGCAACGCAGGCGGCATACACACACAGGCGTGTAAACACACACGGCTTCACTTTATGCTGGTGCAGAGTACGGCCCTGTCAGAGTGGTTTTTGCTTTGTTGAGGTGCTCTGCAGCATACCAAGGACACAGAGTAACCCCACATCACAGGCAGGGACACAAGCGCAGTCCCATTCCTGCCTTGGCAGGAATTCGTGCACCACAGCCACAGAGCTGAGCCTCTGAACCCCACCTTTTGCAAGAGCAAAGGTGTGTGCATGCCATAGGGAACCACACATTGAAAAGGAACACAGCAGGTCACCATGCAGCTCTCTGGTTTCAGGAGGAAAAGTTGCAATGGATTTCAGTATGATATGCAGAAGAAGTTGCAGCTCTGAGTGCTGGTCAAGGGGCATCGCTGCAAGACCTCATCCAACTCCATTCTGGTTATTTAGGGCTGCCCCGTTGGGTTGACTGTGCTTCCTTTAGAATATCAACTGGCTTTAAAGCTACCACTTAACTAAAACATCCCCTTGGGGGCCATAACGGTGGGAACAATTCAGCAGAGAGTTGTTCTTGGTTGTTTTTTTCTTGCTTAATGCATCTCTGACAATGCTTTTTGGGAATTACTTTAGGTTTTGAAAACAACCTGAAGAGTAAGCAGCAACGAGATGCCCCTAGGCTTAAGTCTCAATAGAAATTAAAGGCGCTGTATTCAAAGTTGTAACATGGGTTAAGAACCCAAAATCCATGGGATGTGCACAAAACGGGCTGGATACGCTTACTTATCCAGGTTTCAAAGAGCTGAACTCTTGCACCTCAGGTTTCCATTTCAAACACGGATTCCACAGAGTTACAGGAAAATATTTCAGACCTGACCTTAACAGTGTGTCTAAGTCAGCCTCATGGTGTTTAATCGAGATCTGCAATACCTTAATGACGCCTGTAGTTTCAAGATCATCTAAGCACTCACATGGTTTCTGGGTCAGACCTTCCACTTAAAAGGCAGGCAGAAGCAAAAATGCTGTCTTTTGAACAGCCTTTCATCAGCTTTTGTCATCAGAGGTGAATACCTCTGAGTTTACAACACAGTGTTTGCACGAAGGCTTTTTAGAGAGAGACTGGTTGGGTTGCAGACCCTATTTGTTACAGTGAAAACTACTCCAAATGAACCTTTGCAAGGGGTAAAGTGGCAATTTTGGAAGGGGTTTTGCTTGCCAAACTTCACCTGTGGGAAAGACAAGCAGAGAAAACAGGCTGCTGTGTGCTGATGGTGCTTCTCGAAGGCGTGCCACTAAGTCTGCTTCCCACTGTTTCATTCAAATCCACACACCAGAAATGGGGAAAAAGAAGCTTGAATGTTCAGATCCAGCTCAGCTATGGACCCTCACACACCTCTTTGTCTCATCTTCCCAAACTGGAAGATGGATATAAGCCTGCATACCTCCTAAGCATGGACTTACCTTCACAGCATAGGTGGTGGAAGGGTCCTTGGAGCAGGTGGCACAGTAATATATCGCATCCCCCGAATCGCAGCAGGGCTTGTTGCACGCCAGCTTGAAGAGAGACCAGTTGTTCTCGCTGAAGTGCAGCTCATTCTTCTGCTCCCGCATGAAGCAGTCCTCGCATTTGGCGACCAGGCGGCGCAAGGACTCGGCGTAGAGGGCCCCCAGCTTGGCGTACACCCCCTCCTTGCTGTCAATGTTGCTCAGGAGATTGTGGAGCTGGAGGCTGGAGCCCGAGGACACCTGGCTGGACACGCTGAGCTGCGAGGAGGAAAGGGACTGGAGGTTTCGGCTGGGGATGCAAGCCCCTGTGCTCTTACCAGTGGCTGAGCCCCAGTAACTGTTTCCTTTGGAGCTTTTCTCCAGGGATTCAGAGGAGGAGAAGGCTCCGGGGCGGCCCCCCAGGCTGGCTGGGTGGGCAAAGGGAGGATCCTCTCGGAGGCAGACATTGCTCTCGGAGTGGCTGACGTTCAGCCTGGGGATGGCAGCATCGGCTGCTTTGCCTGAAGACGCCTGTCCCCCAAAAAAGCCGTCTGGGGAGGACACCGTTCTGCTCACTGTCTTCTTCTGGGGCAAAGGAGGTGGGCAGCTGGGGGCAGAGGAGGGACCATCCTCACCGGAGGCGGGAAGGAAAGGGACAGGGGGAAACGCTTGGCTCTCAGCTGGAGGGGGTGAGTGGTTCAGCTCAGACGAGTGCCCTAGGAGACAACAACAGACAAGGAGATGCCATGAGTGGCCCTTGCATTTAAATAGGGTAATTACAACGGGTTTGCACAGCAGCCTGCAGCCAGCCTTCTAGAGAAATGCCTCCCCCCACCAAACCACTTCCCTATGAGCTGCATACACAGTAGTAAAAAGCCTGTAGAGGGTAAATATTTAAGCTGTGATGTCACCCACAAGGAGGTAAGAATGAAACACTCAGGGATACAAGGACAGTCTCATGAGCAAAGCCTTGGGAGCTGCCACCCCATGCTTCAGCAGCATGGCATGATAAGAAGTGACTCAGCTGCGCAGCTCCGTCCCACCGGCTTCAGCTTAATGGAACAGCCTGAGAAATACATTGAACCTCTCTCTGCCTCACATCGAGCAAGGGTCACTGGGCAAGGCCTGGGATTTTGACAATTTCCATCCTCCTGAAAAAAATCTGGCCTCATCTTACTGCTCCAGCTTATTGGAGACACCATTGCTCAGAGGGCAGTCTGGCCTACTGCACACCACCAAATCTCGAGCAGCTCCGTGCCAGCTGCACATGGATTGGGATTGGGCTGGCTGGCTTATTTCCTACTCTGGCCAGACTGGAGACAGGTAATATGGTTGCAGGTGGTGGAAGAAGGGGAAGGAAAACAAAAAAAAAAAGATTTTATATTGAAATAAAGAGCAGTAATTTCAGGCTGTGGAGACAGATTGAATATGGAGTACAGGGGTCTGCAGGGGAAATGAAAAAGAAGATAATTATTTCAGAGGATTTTTCTATGCCACTTGAATGGCAGGCGAGACTCTTGATAAACCCGAGCTCTGCTAACACCTTGCATGCAAGTGTAGGCCTTGAAAGGTGCACAGTGGGGTTCTGGTCTAAGCAAGCTCAGCGGATAGCGGGATCTATTGCTTGCTTTGAACGCAGCTCCCAAAGCTGCAGTGTGGTACAAGCCACCCTTCCTCCTCACAAGCTGCCGCTGAGGGTTCAGCTGCCAGCAGGCACTTCCTCACAGTAGCTTTTGGCTTGTCCCATAGGAACGCCCCGGGGCAGTTTCATGTCAGCTACAGCTGGCACTGGTCTCCATCACAGCCCCAGTGACTCGCCAGCGCTCATGAACAAACTCCAAGTGCTGGGGATCAGATTCCTGAGACACCCCAGGAATGAGCAGCACTGACTTCAGCTTCTGTGGAAGATGAGCTTCCCAAGCATTAATGAAAACCCAGTAATCTCCATCATAACCTGTCTGGTCCACATGAAAGATCCCCTCTGTCAAAAGCCACAGGCAGGGGCTGTTCAGCACAGCATCTCTTGCCGCTTCCAGTCCAAGGTCCTTTGACAGAGGATACAGCCAAGAGAAGTTTCTCGGCACGCAGCCCGAGAACAATTTAACAGAGACACCTCTGCCAGGACACACAGCTGAATTCCTGTTTCGAGAGGCCAGGTTTACTTGACAGAGTCTTACGGAACAAACGTCAGCACGGGAAGCTTTGGCAAGCGGTCCACACGCCTGGCCCATAGATACCAAACTACTCTTACCTTTTATTTTAGGTGCTGCTGGGCTCTGCCCCAAGCACAGGGTAATGAATGAAACCCATTCACAACTTTCCTTATCTGCACCTTCAGCGTAGACTCCTTCTGCACATCAAGGGCTTAAAAGCTCCCCCCTTGCTTCATATTTTAACATCTGACAGCATAGCCAATTAATGTGAACTCACCTCAGTGATTGACTGCATAGCTTCTTGCTTGCATCAGCAAGAAAAATTGCATTTGGGTTATTCATTTAAAAACTCAGCTTTCCCGAAATGAGTTCAAACAGTTGCTTCTGTTAGTGGAGACAGAGAAATCCTCTTGTCCCGTATCACTTTTGACAGCAAATTGCTTCTGCGCCCAGCAAGCAAAGATCCGACATCTGTGAGTTTTAATTCCCCTAGTACAATTTCCTGGCATGATCTCACTCTCATACTCCAAGTCAGTGCTGGAAAAATGGAGTTTCCAGAAACCTGGCTCTTAATTTTATTGCTGCAAATTGTTGCTCTTGGAAAGGCAGAACTTCCACTACATGAAGGCTGCTTTTGCAAAGGAAATACTTTGGGAGCTGCTGAACACGTTAGTGCATGCCTGTTACGCACTGATGAAAAAAGTGACTTCATAGTAAGTACTTTTTAATCTCTGTTAAACTAGTGCAGGCAGATTTTTTCCCCTTCAAGAACTAACTGGGAATGTGATGAGAGGGAGACATCACCTCTAGCACAAGACTCCTTCTGGTACTCCTAAAAATCTGTGGAGGACTTTCTATGGCAGGGCTACTTGTGACCTTGTTCAATGTTATGAAGCACTAGCAGGAAGAGGACAACTGCTTTAAGATGCAGGCTTTATCCAGACAAGAGAAGAGCCACAGGATGAGTGATTCTGGTGCTTGCCAAATGAAAGAGGAAAAAGCCCACGATGTTGGCCTGACTGCCACATATTTAAGTGCATCAAGAGGGAGAGGGGTAGGAGAAGTAGAAGGATGAAGGGGGAAACTAGGTGATGGGACCCTCATGAACCCTGCTCTGAAGATGCTGTCCCAGCAGTGGGACTCAGGATGGAGTTAACTCCTTCCTCAGGTCCGATGCCACCTCTCCCACACCCACTGGTCACTTACTGCCATCGCTGCCAGTCTGCGTGTCTGAGTCAAGGCTGTCGCTGGAGCCAGCTGTGAAGGTGACATGGACACTCCTGAAGGGTGGGCTGAGGCTCTCAGCAGAGCTGTTGCTGGCCCTCTCCAGCTCCGTGTTATTCGGGTTCATTTTCGGAGCGTGCCTAGGGAGAGCGAAAGAGAAGAGTTGTGAAACAAGTGGCAAAAGATACCCCGCATGCCCCTGTGCACGGAGACTCAAGCCAAGAGCAGCCTTAGCTTGGTCCCTGAGCATCCGTGCACTCTGCAGCCTTTTACCACATCACAGCTCTTCATTCCTCTGCACTTTTTTCTTTCTCTAGCACCTGGGGATCGTATCCCTTTGTCACTGAGCAGGTTACGCCCCCATGCCAGCCTCCCAGGACAAACCAGCTGTGCCTGAGCAGACAGAGAAACACTGAGCCAACAGCATCCAGCCCCAGTCTGCATCTCCTTTGCCAAGCACATTTAGGGTCCAGGACCACATCCCACCTTGGCCACTGTCACTGGGAAGTGGGGAACCACCGGTCTTTGCCTTCAGTCAAGTTCTCAAGGGAAGGGAGCGGCATCACTCCTCCTGTTATACAGAAAGGCAGGTTGAGGCAGGGCATCAGAACCCAATTCCTGCATGGCATAGGTATAAGCGGAAGAAGAGTCCACCCCTGGCAGCTGTGGTCTCTTCAGAGCGTCACAGTAACCACTGGCACCTTCCGAAAGAAGAAGCACCCCTGCAGAAAACAAGTGTCCGCCAAACTCAGGACCTTTAACATATGCCCTACAGTTTTCCATGCAGCTTCCATCTAAAGAAGGAAATAAATAAACCATAAACTGGGCTTATAACCCGCCAGGTCACAGTTTAAGTGATCAGTTGGAAGCAAGCAGGACTTTTTGCTAAGATAAAGAATTCTACCCTGCATTTTCTTCATTTTTTCCTTCATGGAAAACAACAGAAACTGCTGAAACCAGGCAGCACATCAGAGCACAAACACCGCTAGCTTTGGTACAGTTCAGACTCTCTATCGGTCAGCAAACAAAGGTTAGTGGTCCCCATTTTTTAAGTAAAACTGCCAACCTGCTGATAAAATTCAACAAGTTCTTGATTAGGAATGTGAAAAAGTTAGCGGCAGACTTGTAAAAAAAAGAAAAAGGGCTTCCACCAGCTATCTCGCTGGAAGGTATCCGGTGTTTCCTAATCAGGCGGCTGAATGGCTGCTGAGAAAGGCAAACAAAAGACGTGCACGACCGTTTTCGTGTGGCACCCAGTTCACTCACACGGGATCCCTCCTCTGCCGAAACCCCCGAGCGCGGCAGATGCCACAAGCCATTTTCATTTGAAGATCAGAGCGATGTTTCATTCCCCATCCAGACAAAGCACTTACTCTCGTGTCCACAGCACCACATGGAGCGCAGAGCATATGAGAAGCCCGGAAGAAACTTCTGCCAGACTTCCTCATTTGCCCGAGCAGCCTCTGTCTAAAAATACCCAGGGGCTGTTGAAAATAAGGCTCTAAAAGCCACCTCAGGTATAACTCAGCAGAGACACTGGTCATGTACCAGTGATGAATTTCCCACAGCAAACCTCTTGGGGATGATTTACAAAACTTCACAATGTGCCACACAAAAAAACTGAAAAGAGAGAATGTGAGAGACACATTGAGGTTTTTAGCTCTGTTACCATTAATGCTGTTGGAAGCCACCAACTGAACTTAAATATTTTTTAAAATATTATTATAAAGATGTATCCTTATCCTATAATTTCCTCAGACATTTGTCTTTTAGTAACCCGAGGGGAAAAAAAACCCCACACGGATGCACACCCATTCGGGTGCACTGTCTGACCCGGCAATAATCAAGGAAGCGTTCGAATCCCTAAGAGAAGAAGATGATTTTGGAAGAGGACCGCTCTCGCTTTGCACAGACGAGAGGCTTCCTAACGCACTCCTCCCCTCCCGCCGCGTCCCCCCCAAAGAAAAGTTGGTGCCTTTCTGTTAGCTCCCCACGGCTCACACACAAATCCGCAGAGCTGCCTTACCATTCCCGCGCTCGGAGGCAGACGGGACTTTGCTCGCCGGGGTCCAAGGTCCACGGTGCACGGCCACACCTTATTCCTCTGAGCAACCTGGGCGCAATGCGGCGTCTGCCCACGCTGCGCTGGCCGCAGCATCTGCCCCAGCCCGGTGGTGAAGGCAGATGTACAGAGAGCCCCTGTTTCCTCCCCACACAGCCACGACTCATGTGAAAATGCAGTTCCTGAATAGGCACACCGAAATAGAAATTGTTTGCTGCTTAAACGACATCCTGCTCTTGTTTCAGATGTTACAGCCGGGCCAGCTAATACTGCCCGGAAATATCCCCGCTTTACATCTCCCTCTCTGCTTTACATCTTGCTCTTTTCCTGTGAGCTGCTTAAAGCCCAAGCTGCAGCCTGCACACATTAAAATACCACCCACTACACCAAAGAGTTACTGAAAACACTTGCTAGGGTCAAACTCTCCCATTCCGGTAAAATTCCACCCCAGGAGCTGAACAACTCATCATTGCGACCGCCTGTGGGATCCTGATTTCCAGCCAACCTGAACTTCCCAGCTTTGCTTGTGTCCCTTCCACCACGCGTGAATGCAAAGGCACAGGTGGCTCCTTTTCACCAAAGGATACTGGAAAAAAAGAGCACGAATCCATCTTACACCTGTAGAAATCATTGGGAATCCTTCCCCACTGGCTTGCTAACATCTCTGGGCTCTGGTTCCCTTCAGAAGGAGGTAGCAGTGGTTAATTTACCTCCTTTTCAAAAATCCATGCTCAGCACCTCATACTTAACTGGCAACTTGAAGAGCAGCACCAGAGCCTCCTTCGTCTGCCAGTGCATACAGAACAGGTCACAAGAGTCAGCTCTCCCTATCTATTAACCTAAAAAGACAGGATTTCCAGCTGCCCAAATGATTCTGGCAGCTTTAAATACACTTCAATTACTCAACATCCTCCGCGCAACACGCTGGCAAGCCTTCCCATTCACTGTTCCCCAGTTCTCCCATCCTGGGCAGTTCCATCCAGCTGGCTTTCCACACAATTCCCACAGCACTGCCTAGAACGAGTCAAGGTTGAAAACAGTGGTCTAATTAAAAAAATAATAAATAAAAATATATATATGTCTATATATCTATATACACCATTTGTTGTTCCATAGCATTGCAAGGGAACCCGGATCATTTGCCATGCCCCACAATGCATCTCCAGCCAGAAGATGCTGGCAGTGGTGGAGGATGCTGGAAGGCATCTCTCCTCCATGCAGAGACCCGATCTCTGCTCTGCAGCCCCATAACGGGGTGTGGGGTGGTCCCAGCCTTGCTGTGCTGGCAGGAGGGGGCTCTCCTTCTCAGCACAGATACCAGGACTTGAGCAGGTAGCAGAGATGCTGAGCTTTATAAATCCCACAACAGGGGAAGGAAGCAGAGAACACACACAAACCACCATAGACAGGGCTTGGATTTGCACTTCTCCTTCTCCTACCAGCTGGTAAACGTGGGGAAACCAAAAGCAGGGCGAGAGAAAAAGTGGATTTTGAAAGACACCTCACTCTGTTTAGAAGACTACACCACTCCTCCCTGTACCAAAAAGGTTTTATGTAGCACAGGTTAAGTTGAAACAAGGGCTTGGAGTCTGGAGATGCAAGGGGAAATTTGGATGGGGTGCAGAATTAAGATGGTAGATGGGTCGAAAATCAAATCACTGCATGCTCTGATGTGGTCAAGAGGACAACAAATGTCATTTCAGTTTCCAGTTCTGAGCTTTTTTTAAGTGGCAAGATAGGAGATGCACAGAAAAATTAATTACTTTCATCTTAAAAGAACAAGATTGGCTGATAAATCATAACCTTTTAAAAATGGTCCACTGGCAGAAGCAGCATGAGAAATTCCTGATTAGTTTTAGACAAAACCCACAGGGAGAATCCAAAAGGTGCATTCCCTCCCTGTCCTGGAGGGCGATTCTCTTCTGCTTGAGACGTATTCTCCCTTTTTTACTTTAGTTACTAAATTTTTAATTATGGATTTAAATAGATGCTGTCCAGAGTTTTGGGGTTTTTATTATTATTTTATTCATTTTTAAAAATAATAATAATAAATCTGGCTTGTCCAAGACCAAACGCAGCAAGTCCCTGCTATCATCCACAGTCACCGAAAACACAGTCACAGAGAAGATGATTGAAATTTGGGTCCCACATGACATCCAGTTGCATTTGTAATTGCCACAGCAGCTCCATGTCACCAGTGTGCTTTTGGCACCGAGCTCCAAGGAGAGAAAAGGGGAATATTCTGCCTCAGGTGCAGCGCTGCTCCATCACAGACCCATTCCTGGCAAGAAACACAGCACAGCCCCACCAACCAGCACCGCCTCCCCAAAGAGGGACAAACCTGGCTCTTTTCCTGGCGATCCAATTCCCAACACCCTCGTTTTTCATACAGCTCCCGTTTTCTGTTCCCTCTGGCAACAAGCGGCAGCAGCAGCACCACACCATGCTCTCTTGGCACATCTCAGGCTCGTTTGTCCCGGCTGCGTTCAGCGATGCCGGGTGTCAGGATGTGCTGTGCCGCGCACCTTTGTTACCCCAAAGCGAGCGCGTTCAGCACATTTCAGAAGCTACCCACAGCGCTGCCTTTTGAAGGCGGCATTAATTACGAGGTAAACAGCTCAAGATGCAAAACAGCATCCCTGCTTCCTTTCTCTAAGAGGCACATGAAATAAATTAACTGTCAAGGTTTTGCAGGCTAGAAGGAACCACTAAAGTCTTTTAGCCTGACCCTCTGCATGAGAGAGACATAAATTTCAGCAAAGATTCATCCCTTGTGCCAAGAAACCGAAGGCCACACTACAGCATTTTACACCAAAGAACTTTTAATTCGTCGTTGCATGAACAAGTCCAGGGGATCCTGGTTCCCCCGGTGAGCCCTTTCCGTAGCCAACTGCCTTCCCGGCTTTTGGAAGAAGAACAGCCACCATCTGCCCTTTCCAATTGCTTTCCTCATGTAATTCAACTCATTTTCCATTCCCTTTCAGAGCAAGCATACATTAAATATCTATCATCTTTCAGACAAGCAGGAAAAAAGGACTGTATGAAGACACAATCATAAGAGGCTCAGAGTAGCTTTATATAGGATGAAACAGGCACAAATTAATTATTTTCCTTTCTTTTTGCACCAACTTTGCATCCTAAAATCACTCCTTCTGCCATCCTAAGAGACGGCTTACTGCAAAACAGGAGTTTCCCCCATGCCTGGCAGGAATTTACCCTGTAAAAACTTTTTCCCTTTTAATTGTTAGAGCCAAGATGAACAAAACAAAATCTACAGACTCACTTTTTTTCCTTTCTCTGCTTTGAACACACATACAAGTTTTCTTTAAAATAAGCAATTAAGTGTAATTGGGAAAGTCAAGCAGGCAGGCTTCATTTTCCAGCATGAAATCAAGTCTCTTGCTACAGCTTGAGATCTGGAAGGAGAAAGGATGGTTTCACACCTTTCCTGAAGCTGAAATGAACCCTGATTTTCTCAGCCCCAACCCCCAAGACTGTGGCACAACCAGGTCCACGGTGGTTTCAACGACATCCACCCATCAAAGGAGCCACTGGAGAACATGTTGGGCTGATGAGCTCTGTCTCTGTGAGGGACTACCTAAATGCAGCAGAAATACCGGTGGTGCTTCTTCTCTTATGGACAAGCATGTGCCCACAGACTGCCTGTGCCCAGGAGGGTACAGAGGTGTCTCAGAGCCATCTTTGGGTGCAAGACCCCCTCCCTCCTTCATCTCCGGATTAGATGTTCCTCCAGCACCAGGTAAGAGCCGTGCCACCACCCAAAGCTGCAAGCAACGACTGCCCTGGGTAACACAACCCCATCGCTGCCGTGATTTTAACGGGCTGTGCACATAGCCATCTCTCTAACAGTGTCAGCCAGGTACCAACACCCCGCTCCTGCATTGACACGCTCAGAGATGCCACGCTCGAGATGAAAACGAGAGCACCCTCAAAGCAAACAAAACAACACAACCAGCTGGGTTTGCACGGCTTGCGAAACCTCTGCCATTGGATCAGATCGCTCCTCCCGGGGTTTGGTAGCTGGAGGGAGGGCTATGCTCTTTGAGCAAGGCGCCCTGAGGCTCAGCTGCAGGCATCAAGGTGTTGAGGAGTCAAAGACATGGAGCACAACACATTGTCTACAGCCACAGGGGGTAAGAGCAATGCCAGCACCTACCTCAGCCTCACCTTGAAGGGTTTATGGCTCTGCCAGAGATCCCAGTCACGGATGCCACGCGTTCACTGACCTCAGTTTCCCTGCCTTTTGCTTTCACTCAGGCTTTAGCACACAGATGCTTTCAGGATGACTCAGAAGCTACTGTTACAGTTGGCACAGCCCAATCGCACCAGGAGCGTGAAATGGCCCCTCCAAGGAGCAGAAAATGCTCCACATCCCTCAGGGTGGATCATCGTAACTCCACATAGAAGGCAACAGCAGGGCATGTTCCTGGCTTGGAGCACAGCTGGAGACACCCTGACACATCGAGGAGCCCCCCTGCCTCCACTCCCAGCTCTCATGAAGGCAGAAAGGAGACTCCAAGCACTGCCAGGGCAGCGTCTTTGCCCCCAGCACAGGCAAAGGGCTTGGCATGGCTGCTCCTCCATGAGCAGAAGGAGGTCCTAGCACTGCAAGTGGAAGGTGCTGCTGAGGTTGAGTGCCACCACTCTCCTGACCTGCCCACTAACCTCTGCTCTGCAGGGGAAGGAATCGGGTTATAGAGGACTTTGGGCAGACAACTTGGTGTTTCCTGAACTATCACTGCTCAATAGCGTCACATCATCTCTGCTGGGCCTCAGCAACACCTCATGTGACAGACACAACCTCAAGCCACAGCCCGATAGGAGACACCAAGTGGCAGCAGCCATGAAAGGAAGTTCACAGGGTCAAAGCTAAAGCCCATCTTAGTGTGCTCTTTGATTCCAAAGGCAATAAAGCTCAGCTGTGTGCTCACTTGCTTGTGGACCCTTTCTTTCCTCTGACTCCAGCAGGCATGCAGCATCACAGCAGGAAGCCCAGCATTAAGGAAAACTGAAGCCTCTTGTTCAGCTCATCCCTTTCCTTGAGAAATCTAATTTGTTTCCCACTGGTCAATTTAAAGCACCAGTTTCCTGGGCCAGCCAGCCCTAAAAACAGTGAAAATCAGTGTGAGAACAAAACAGAGGAGGGGCCAGCTCAACCCCAGTCTCAACCTGGAGGTGACTGATGCCTACACATAAGCTTGACCATGGACCCCAAAAGCAAGTTCTCCTCCGAACACTCATCCCTTCTTCTCTCAACTTCTAAATCAAGGAGCTAGAGTAAAATCTGTTGTGGAATGCATGGTTCCAGGTAACAAAACTGAAGTACGCAATAAAGCCAATACAGGACAACCACAAAATGTGAAAGTCTCCCTCCCCAGTATGATCAGACCTAATCCATTAGTTGCATGGCAAGGAAATAAATTCGTCTTTCTCACCATTTAATCTTTTTTTTGGCCTTTTTTTTTGTGATACACACAGCTGTAGATACTGAATGCACACAAAGTATCGGAAGCCTGGTTTTTTAATTGCTTAGAAGAGCTACTTCCTTCCCAGATGGACAGGACAGCTCTCCCTCATTCACGTTTGTTTTCCAGGGCCTGCTGTCCCCCTGCCTGCAAACCTGACTTCAGGAGAGCAGCGAGGGGAAGGCTGCTCCCACACATCATCAGCACACGTTAACCAAGCTCCAGTTACTCCCTTACAGGCCAGGAATCCTCCCTGGGAAATTGCGCCTTCAAGAGTTAACCTTAAAAACAAAAAGACATTGGAGCCAAACCGAAAATGAGGATTTCAGAGGCCCTTGCTATTAGCACTGAGAGAAATTGCCCACCTACAAGAGGAGCTTGCACCCCCCGATTTTCTATCCTATTCAACATCAGTGGCCTGTTTTGGGACAGAATGAAGCTGATATGGGAAGCCTCAGCCATCCCAGACACGGACCTTGTTCTCACTTGAATACTGGGTCCTAAGGCCATATCTTGCAGCCCTGAAGAGCTTTTGCAAGTATGCACGGCATTTGAACCAGGACGTGCAAAGATCTGACAGCTTTTCAAAGTAAAAAAGTAAGAAGTTTTTCAGCCGTGCAGTCACCTCCCATGCCCCTGAAAGCCCACCCTTGAACAGAAAAGGAAGGAAAAGAGCATGGGAAGCCCCTCCTGGTCAATCAATCCCTGCAGCAAACATCCAGATTTCAAATGGTTAACAGACGACCACGCACACACTCACAAGGCTGTACCTGGACTGCTTTTTCGGCGGTGGTGGCGGTGGTGCAAACTCCACACCATTGCTCTTGTCTTTAGGGAAATCAAAGGAGAAAGATGATGATTTGCTGATCCCAGTCCGCTCCGGCATTGGGCCATCATCCACAAGGTCGGCACCAGCTTTCCCATTCTCAGCTCCCCCTGCCCATGGGTGGGTTAAAAGCTCCTGCTCCTCCTCCTGTTGCTCCTCCTCCTCCTCTTCCTCCTCCTCCTCTTCTATCCGGCACTGCTTGGTCCATGTTGGGGCGTAGTATTTCTGTCTCCTGTCATAGGATGACCCTGCCAGGCCTCTGCTGGACTCCTCTGCAGAGACCCCATTGACATGAGTGCACGGAGAAGGGGACGTCCCCGTACAGCTCCTGGGCAGCAGCTGAACACCAGCTCCATCGCAGCTGCTATCATCACCAAACCTTGCCACATGGGAACTTACCAGGGGCACACGGTTCCCCTCACTGCCCAGCTGGCCGTTTTTGGACATCTTTGGGGGAATGGCTGGACTCTCAGTAACGGAGGTCTTGGCCGGCGCTGCCAGATGAAATCTTGGGCCATTTTCACTTCCAGGTGCTTGAAAAACCTCTCCAGGCTCAACGACAGGTGATGAAGTCCCAAAATCAGGGTGGGAAGTGGAGCTGATACATGGCCACTGGACTCCCACTGCAGAGTCGGGGCTGCTGAGAAATATTGTCTTGTGATCATCCTCAGTGTGTGCGGTCATGATGGTTATCTTGGCCGCCACCTGACCAGTGGAGTCCTGGTATTCCCTCTCACCACCCAAAACCCAGCCACCATCCCTCCACATCCCATCAGCTTGCTCCTTGCCAGTGCTAAGGGCCAGCTTCTCTGCTTTTGCCTGCCCACTGACGGCCTTCAGCTGCGGCTTCTTTCTCTTGGTGCTCTCAGCGTAGATGGGATCGCTGCGGCTTGGCTCGGTGAGGCGAGGGCGCTGTGGCTCCACCAGAGCCTGCTGAGGGGCACTCGAACCCTCAGGACAGGGGGCTCCGGTGACCAAGGGCTCTCCAGGGAGAGGCGAGTCCTCGTCCTCCGGGGATAAAGCAAAAGCAGCCACCTTGCTGCTCCTGGTGCTCTCAGGGAGGGCGGCAGGCTCAGCGTGGAGAGTCAGCTTCTTCCTCTCTGAACGCAAGGCGCGGGGGAGAGCATCACCCTGGTCTTTCGTGATGCAGAAGGCCACGTTCACAGCTCTGCGCTCCTCTTCACCAAACTTGACTGCCCTGCCGCTTGGCCTGGGAATCTCTGGAGCATCCCGCTGCCTCCATCCACAGGGCGCAGGGCTCTCCTTCTCGCACCGGGCGCCCTTCCCCTCTGCACAACGCGGCTCCCGCAAGGCAGGGCACTCTCTGCGGCAGTCCGTGATCGAACAGTACTCACCCCCTTCGCTTTCAAAGCCAGAGGGGAGGCGACTGCAGTCGCCCTCTGAGGGGAGCGCTGCTCCTTCTCTGGCTTGGGAAGAACTGTTTCTGCTGGAGTTCACAGTGCTTCTGTCCTCCAAAGCGGACGGATTATGGCAGGGGACTCGATGTGGCAAGGCAAACTTGTCTTTGACTCTGTCCTCCTGCTTGCTCACCTCACCCACCAGCACCAGGCTGTGAATGGAGACATTTCTTTCCACTCGACTCTCCAGACCACGCAGGCCCACCATGGAGTAGCTAGGAGGACAGCAAGATAAGCAGTCGCTGGGCGGGTTGTGAAGGAAGGGTTTTCTCACGCCACCGTTGCCGAAATTGTCGAGGCAGATCCGCTGCGCATCACCTGATTTCAGAAGGAGGTGTTTGCCGGAAACCATGCCCCAGTTGACCTGCACAGGCCAAAGAGACAAGTGTGCTGTCAGGATGTGCATATGCAAAGTGAAAGAGAAATTGAAAAAAACCTCAAAAAACTAAGCACAAAAAAAACCCCCAATACCACCCAAAAAACCCAAACAACAAAAGAAAAACTCCACAGAAAAGTCCTCTGGCATTTGCAGTCTGTTTTGCTCTGAGCTCACCCCACCAATAACTACCACAAACCTTTTCTACTTAGATTACGCTTATCCTATTTCCTGGACCATTTGTAATCCCTGCGTTACCAACAATGGCAATGCACTGAAATAAGACATTTTCCTTTCTCTTTCTGTGGGTTCGCTGCCAGAAACGTGTCCAACCTGTCATCTTGTCTGCGAATCACCGTGCAATTAAAGGTTCAGAGAGCGAAGGAATATCTGCACCTCCCTCTGCTTATTTCCTTTTCATTTCACACGGCTGCTCTGGAGTCGCACGCTGCAGAGCACAGACATGGGCTGTCACAGGTTACTCTGGGATAGCGGCTTGGCTGCACTCAGCAGTGGGGAGCAGGTGGGGAAATGTATCCAAAATCTCTTCACCTGAGAGAGGTCTATCCTGCACGCCAAGAGAGAGGAGGAGCGGGAGAAGCAAGGGGTAACACGTGCCTCTGAAGCGACACCCCCCACATGCAGACACCATGGATCCAGTTAGCACTGGCTACAACCAGACAGGACTTCTTTTCAGCATATCTTCCCAGGAAAATAACTTTAACCTGCATCCTCATTTAAAAATTGGAAGTTCCCAAACAAACAATGTATTTTTAAGCTCTTTTGCACATGCCTTGTGAGCAACAGCACATTCAGCTTCAGCCAAAATACTTTGAGAAGCCAATATATGGCTTAAAAAAGAGCCAGAAGGAAAAACAAAGGGAAGGAAACTGTTTTAGCAGATACCCCTAGCACTCCCAAGGAGAGGTAAGTAACGGGAAGTCATGCTTTGACTGGATTAATCATTACCTGTGACAGATCCGCATTCATATTCACATCCGCCCACGCGTCAGAAACATCTGAATTTATCATAGTTGGCTTCACAGCAATTGTTGGCTTTGAAAAAAGGGAAGTATTTACACCTTCGTCTTCCAACGCGGGGCTCTCGGGCTTGGTCCTAACTCCATTCGAGAGCGCACCGCAAGCTCCCACGTCTGGGGGTGTCTGCAGCCGATGGGAACTCTTTGGGTTGAAGCAGTTTTTGCAGGAGCCGGGCTTCCAAACGTGTTCTACAAAGTCACTGCACGCAGACATCTTCGAATCCTCGTGGCTCAGCCCGCGAGCCCTCTGCGTCGTCTGCACTGTCCTCCGCTGCTCATCTTGCATTTGCTTCCCAGGGCCGCTCCTAAAGATCGCTGCGTTACCTGGAAAAGCACAACACTGTCTGGTTAGTTTGGTTATGCCCCTTTTTAATAGGGCAGGTGATAACTACACTTACACTGCCTTCATCACAAAGGCTTATTGTTTACAAGGCCCTTTTTTTTTTTCACAGCTTAGCTAAAGCCCACACAATCGCCTGAAAAACCTCAACTTCTAAGCATAGCTCTGTAATAGAGAAGACATCAAGCAAAGAGCATTCCTATGTGATTTAATTCCCTGTTTAATGAGCATGTATAACCAGTCTCGTGCAAGGTTTAGATCAAGGGGAAAGGAAAGGGGTCCTGGAAATTGCTGTTCACAGCCCCATGAGCAGAGCCAGGCAGGAAAAATTCCTTCTCCGAAGCAGCATCCTCTGTCTGGAAAATAAAAAGGCCTGGAGATACAAGGACCAGAATCAGTGACCGTGTAACCAAGGGGACAGGCAACAACCTTCCTTCACCCAGAAACACCGCTGTGATTACAGCCATGGCACACAAAGGCTTCTCTCCCACCCAGCGCAACGGAGAAAGGCAACCAGCAAGGCTGGGGCTGGCACTGGTTTGAGCAAGTGCCTGGCAGAAAGCTCTTATCTAGTCTGCCAGGACCCACAAATAACAGTGTCAGCTCTCTGAAACGATTCATTGTCTGCAAGGGGAGAAAGGTTTTGCTTCTGGATTACTTACAGACAAGGATCCCTTCCCATCTTCCTTTCCCATGAGGAAATGCCCCGGGAACAAGACATTCCTGCATTCCTGTGCACCCCCTCCCCACAGAGCCAGGTCTGATTGCGCTCAGCCAGCAGCTACCCGGAGCTAACAACTTTGGAGCCACTTCAGAGGAGGACTCCCACAAAGCTCTGGGGATTAGGGAAAAGAAGATCAGAAAAACGCGACTAGATGAGGAAAATTGCAGCCAGCTGCTCCGGGTGTCAGGGCACACAATTCCCCCACATGGCTCCACAGAGTCCTTCCCCACTGACCCAACTTTAAGGCATCATCTCCCAGCCAGCTGACCCCAATGCAAACTGAGGCTCCTTCTCCGAGCAAAAAGGGACTTTTACACCCCGATCCTGATGGCACCAGAGCAAAATTTACCAGCCTGATCCTTCAGTGCTTCCTCCACACAGGCACACTGCAACACCACCACGGCTATGGACACCTTTGCACCTGCATCCACCTCTAAACCAGCCTGGGCTTCAGTAAAGCCTCTTGCTGCTGTGCTCAGAGATGCCCTGGATTTATTTTCCGTTTTATTTTCCTTGCCAACAGCCACGCTATTGCATGGTGAAAAGAAAGAACGCTAATAAGAGCCTGGGTGGGACAGAGTGGAGGATGGGGTGAGCCACTGACCCACAACCGTCACCTGAATTCAAATGCCACCTCGAGGAAGGGAGGCTTTGATCAGCTCAAGCATTAGTACCTGCAGACTCCTCCTGTCTGGAAAGCTGATAAATTAGAATCTGTTTCATGAAAGAGCAGGAAAAAGAGGAATATCAATGGGATTCACAAATCAGATTGGTGCCTTTCTCTCTTTTTAGGAAAGGCGCTGTTTTAGACAGGTTTTTCCATGGACTTCACAGAGTCCAAATTAACTAAAAGACAGCACATCACTCTTGGACGTACCCCAACACCTTCAACGACATTAACTTTTTTTGCATATTTTTAAAAAAATATACTACTCTTTGTTTCCTTCCAGATCTAGCAAGCAGTGTCCAGCATCTCCCAAAGTTGAACAAGTGTCCTGATGAGAGCCAGCAAATAAAAAAAAAAAAAGAAAGAAAGAAAAATCAAAGGGAAGAAAGCAGGGAGCAGAGCCAGAAACAACTCCTCGCTTCTGCTTTAAAAAAAAAAACGGCTGCCTTTCACGGCTCGGGATTCCCCTCCCTGCAGCTGAACCCACCGCTGTTTCTCGCTGGCCAGAGCCTGGGGCAGACGGCCCCGTGTCCGCACACCGGCGACACGGCTGGCACCCAGCCCGCACCTCCCCGGCGCCGCCCGGGGGAACCGGCCGGGCTCGGACCGCCC